TAGAGGCTGAGCCCTGCCCAGCTGTCCCACTCATGTCTCAGAATGCTAATTCCTTTGACAACGAAGAACGTAATCTACTGGCAAGTCTTCCTGCACAGACTCATTAAGAGGAAGAGGAGCTGCACCGTGGTGCCAGGCCGCCCCTCACAAAGCCTGTTCTTACCAGAAGAGCCACCTGCGAAATGGGAATGGCCATGAAGAGTGTGGCATTATGTGCAAGTCCTGCTGCCTCTGTGTGTCACCTAAACGGAGAGTGGCCCTTAGTACGCAGGAATGCACACTCAGCATTGGCAAGAAAGTGAAGTGGAGAGGGGGAGAGATTGTGGCTGCTGCACAAGGAGCATGGATTCTGAGAAGGCAGAGAAGCAGTCTGCCCCATGGAGGCAACCCTTGGCCGAGGGGCCTGAGCCACCCCATCTAAGCACCCCACCCCACTTGGGTTGACAGGAACAGAAAAGATTAAAGAGGCAAGGAGTAGACAGAGAAGTTCAGACCCTTCTGCCCAGCACAGCACAGAGCACTGATGAGGGTGCAAATTCCCTCCTCCCCAGTCACCGGAGGATTAATTTTGTAAGGGGGGAGGGCTTCCTTGGCTGATGCGCACATGTTTGTTGTGTGTGCATGCATGCAAAAGAGCATGCATGTATTCAAGAGTGTGCTGTGACTACATACACTTTTGGATACACCCACCCGAACCGTGTGCCGCCACCCCTACCCCTCCATGAGAGTTGACCAAGGGTGAATGCAGATGAGCCCAGTCCTTTTTTTTTTTTTTTTAAATAAAATTTTTATTGGTTTTAGAAACTTTTTAAACAAAAAACAAACAAACACCAAAAATAACATACATACACGTATAGTTTCAAACATATTTTCATAAACTTCTTTCCTTTGACTTCCCCATACCCCCCCTCTCTGCATCCCAGTGTCCAAAGTTCCACTAGCAACTCCCAATTGTTATTTTCAATCTCTATCTTCTTAGTTCTTTTTTTTTAAATTTCTAACCTTATATCCCTGTATCCCTTTATTTCTGAAAACCGCAACATTTTAGCATTCATTAAGTTTATAGTAGTCCTTAAGATAACTTTTAAATTTCCTCCATTCTTCTTCCACCGTCTCTTTTCGTTGGTCACGGATTCTGCCTGTCATCTCAGCCAATGTCATATAGTCCATCACTTTCATCTGCCATTCTTCCAAAGTGGGTAGATCTTGGGTCTTCCAATACTTTGCGATGAGTATTCTTGCTGCTGTTGTAGCATACATAAAGAAGGTTCTATCCTTCTTTGTCACCAATTGGCCGACAATGCCCAAGAGAAAGGCCTCTGGTTTTTTCACGAAAGTACATTTGAGTACCTTTTTGATTTCATTATAGATCATTTCCCAGAAGGCCTTAATCTTCGGGCATGTCCACCAAAGATGGTAGAAGGTACCTTCAGTCTCTTTACACTTCCAGCATTTGTTATCGGGCAAATGATAGATTTTTGCCAGCTTGACTGGGGTCATGTACCACCTGTAAATCATTTTCATTATGTTTTCTCTTAAGGCATTACATGCCGTAAACTTAACACCGGTGGTCCATAACTGTTCCCAGTCGGCAAACATAATGTCATGACCAATATCTTGAGCCCATTTAATCATGGCTGATTTCACCGTTTCATCCTGTGTATTCCATTTCAGCAACAAATTATACATTCTTGACAAATTCTTAGTGTTGGGCTCTAACAGTTCAATTTCTAGTTTGGATTTATCCACTTGAAAGCCAATTTTCCTATCCTGTTTGAAAAGCTCCATCAGATGAGCCCAGTCCTGGCACAGAACCAGTGAGCCAGTGGGAATGAGCTCTGCTGGGCCACTGCTGACTGCACTGTCCCTGAAGGAAGACAGTGTTAGAGAAGCGCTCCTTTCCCAAAGCACCTGTTTGCTTTGTGGGGCTGCACAGGGTAGCCCTGTAGGCACTGCAGAGGCACCCAGCAGAGACCTGCTCTGATCCACAAACAAAGCTGGAATCAAAACAGCCCAGCCTCCCAGTGGATGAAGACTCCACGCTTAATTAGCCACCAGCAGGGGGCTGCCAGTTCACCGGGAGGATTAATTTAGCAGGTGGCCCCATGCGCTCCAGAGGCAACCCAGCAGGCAGGCAGCTTGGTCCTGGCAAGAGTGTGGAAGGAGGGGGCAATTCTTGCCCCTGCCCAAACCCCTCCTTTTCCCCAAGCCCCTGGGTGGTAAGAAAATGCTAAAATTGTCCACAGTCATGCCCCATCTTTAGTCAGGCCAGCGTATAACTGGTGGGGAACTGGCTCCAGCTAAATCCTTTTCTCCCCCACCTTTTGCAGGCTGCCCACCGGTCAGCAACCAGATAGATGGTCATAGTGATGTCATCTCTCCCATTTACACTCATGTAGTTTGAAATCAACACTGTGCAGGCACAAGCATGGCATTCTGGAGTCCTGGCAACTAGTTGATTGCCAGGGCATCAAAACACTGTGCAAACCTTTCTGAAAGCACCAAAGACCTACTGGTCTTGTGGTGAGCTGCAGGAGCTGCTTTGTAGCCCTGACAATCAGCTTATTGTTGGCAATTTTTATCAGTTGATTGCCAAAGCTTCAAAGTATAATGCACTGCACGGAGTTTTGCAGGTTGGAAGATGCAGGACAGATAAAAAGAAGTACAAAGGTAAAGGTAAAGGACCCCTGACCATTAGGTCCAGTCGTGGCCGACTCTGGGGTTGTGGCGCTCATCTCACTTTATTGGCCGAGGGAGCTGGCATACAGCTTCCGGGTCACGTGGCCAGCATGACTAAGCCGCTTCTGGCGAACCAGAGCAGCGCACGGAAATGCTGTTTACCTTCCCGCCAGAGCGGTACCTCTTTATCTACTTTCACTTTGATGTGCTTTCGAACTGCTAGGTTGGCAGGAGCAGGGACCGAGCAACGGGAGCTCACCCCGTCATTGCGGGGATTCGAACCGCTGACCTTCTGATCAGCAAGTCCTAGGCTCTGGGGTTTAAGGGACACCACCCATGTCCCTTAAAACCGTGCCTTAAAATACGTAGTTAAAACCGTGGTTCACTCTTGCACAGGAGGCAGTGATGGCCACGAACCTAGATGACTTCAAAAGAGGAATAGAAAAATTCATGGAAGAGGAGAAGGCTATCAGTGGCTCCTGGCCACAATGACTCTTCTCTGCGTCCACGGTTGAAAGGCAGCAATTCTTCTGAATTGCAGTTGCTGGAAGTCGCAGGAGACGGAGTATTGCTGCTTGCGGTTTTCTCACAGGCATCTGGTTGACCAGTGAGAGAACAGGATGCTGGACTAGATGGGTCACTGGCCTGATCCAGCCTGATCCAGAACAAAACCATTGCTGTTGCAGAGAGCAAGGGTGGCCGTGTGGGACTGGGCTAAAGAACTCAGGGTTCGAATCCCCACACACTCATGAAGCTCCCTGAGTGATCTTGGGCAGTCACTAACTCAGGTACCTCACTAACCTCATGCACTTCAGAATCTGGTTGTGAGGATTAGATGGGGAAGGGGATAACTGCACAGAGCACCTTGAGCTTGGAGGAAAGGTGCAATGAAAAAGTTGAAATAATAACTTCAAAGCACAGCTGTTCCTGATGCCCAGGCCCACCAGCACAATAGGAACCTGTGCAGCTTCAGGTAGCCAAATGGTGCCTAAACATTTATTTGCTAGTGCAGGGACTTGCCAAGGCTATTAGATAGCGTTGTTGTTGCTGTTGTTGTTGTTAATTACCGTATTTTTGATGCACTTTTGCCCTCCTAAAAAGTAAGGGGAAATGTGTGTGCGTCTTATGGAGCGAATGCAGGCTGCGCAGCTATCCCAGAAGCCAGAACAGCAAGAGGGATTGCTGCCCAGTGAAAGCAGATATCCCTCTTGCTGTTCTGGCTTCTGGGATTCAGAATATTTTTTTTCTTGTTTCCCTCCTCCAAAAACTAGGTGCGTCTTGTGGTCTGGTGCGTCTTATAGAGTGAAAAATCTGGTGCCTGCCCTTCACCCAGGGTGGGGTATAACATTAAAATACAATATAGAATACAGCCTAAAGCAGCTTATAATCACAAAAATAAGGTGGGTCGTAAAAAGCCAGGATAGAGAGATGCAATTTCAGCATTCACAGGAAGCTGTATAGTGAAGGTGCAAGGTGCACCTCTGTGCGGAAGGAGTTCCAGAGCTGAGAGGCTGCCACAGAGAAGGCTCTGTCCCAGACCTCGACTTCCTCTGAAGGGCTCTCTCTGCTGATCTTAACACCTGAGAGGGTCTGCAAGGAATGAAGTGGTCTCTCAGATATTAGGGGGCCTGCATAGCTTTAGGGCTTTGCACACGAATGCACTGGCCCTCTTTCTGTAATAGCTGGCTCCTGAATCTCAAGCAGCATTGAGGAAATTATTCTCTCCCTTCACACTGACATAAGAACAGCTTTGAAACGCACTACCTTCTCTCCATTCTTAGGTGGGAGCATGAAATCCTCAGGCACCCATCTTTGCAAAGGTGGCTATAGCTGCGTCTCCAAAGGTTAGCTTGCACACTCACTCTTCCTGCAGTGCTTCCATGCCGGCCTGCAGGGCAAAGGCAGGACCAAATTCCACATTCCTCTCGTGCTCTGGTTCCTCCCAAACCTGCAGGCCAGGCGTAATAATGCCATTAAGTGGAATAATCCAGGCTTTGTTTATCTGTGCAGCTGTCTTGGTGGATTAGTAGGAAGCTGGGTTAGGGGGTTGGAGGGGTAATAGGCCTTCTTAATCAAGGGTTTGCTCTCATTACCAGCCCACTAGCAAAGAAGGACACCACTTCCCTTCTGCCAGGCCTGATTCGTAGCCTCTGTTCACCCCACTGTAGTGAACCCGGCAGATGCTTTAGCTCCTTTGCTGCAGTGGAAGCAGCAATGCAAGTGGGGGGCTTGTGTGTCAGGGTTGGGAGTGGTGCCTCTCAGCAAACAGTTCCCACTTCAACTTGCCCCTTCTTTCCTTCTTTCCTTCCTTCCTTTGCCAGGTGTGGAGTGTGCCACTGACATTGACGAGTGCGAAGACCACCCCTGCCAAAACGGAGGAGCCTGCGAAGATGGCATCGCTGACTACATCTGCCATTGCATCCTTGGTCCAAACGGCATAGCCTGGGGTGGGAAGAACTGCTCTGTGGAGCTGACCGGGTGCCAGAACCACAGTTGCCAAAACGAGGCCTTGTGCATCCCCACCTACCAGTCTGAGTCCCACGGCCACCTGTGCCGCTGCCACCCTGGCTTCTATGGCTCCACCTGTTCCACGCCAACCACCTTCTCCTTCACAGCCAGTGTCTACCTCTTCATCAACATGACTGCAGACGACGAGAGTGCCAGGGAGGCGCCAGAGGGGGACCAAGCCAGTGTGGCTCTCCGGTTCCGGACCACCCTCCCCGATGCCGTCCTCTTCTACCGAGGCCAGCCAGGAGAGCACCTTCTCCTGGAGCTCTCTGGTGGCCTCCTGCGAGTGACACTTTTGATGCAGGACACTCCGTTGTCTTTCACCTTGGAGGCACCGAAGGTGGCCGATGGCCATTGGCACAAGGCAGAAGTCCTGCTGCAGGATTCTCTCGTGCTCAAACTTTGGCATGAAGCCTGTGCTGAGGGTGTCTGTTTGCACAGCACCCCCATTGGAGAGGGAGCCCCCATTTCATTCCTGCCCTCCTTTTTGCACATATATATTGGAGGAGTTGAAGAGGACTTAACACCTAACCCAACAAAGAGTTTCCTTGGTTGCTTGGAAGACTTGCAGATTGATTCTAAGGTTGTCTTGCCACAGGAGGTGATCGGACTGAAAGCCCCTGGGTTTGAGCTGGGCTGCGAGAGGACAGAGTGGTGTCACTCCCAGCCCTGTTCACATGGCGGCCAGTGCATTGACCTCTGGGCAGACTTCCGCTGTCACTGTGCTCGGCCTTACGAAGGCCGTACATGCGCCTATGGTGAGTAATGAGTGAGAGTGCTTGTTGGCCCCTCTTGAGAGGGAGGTGGGTTGGCTTGGAAGCAATCTTCTGTTTGGGGGAGGTGATGTAGGCCTGGGGTGGAGAGGTTGCAGTTCACGGTTCATGTGCTTGATCTTATGGCAATAGAGGCAATTCCCCTGGGCACCCACTGTAGACCCAACAAAGTGCCGCTGGGTGCTCTTCTCCAATGCTCAAGGGCAGGCAATTGCACACACAGCAAATAATGGCTGTGAAGGTTGCAATTGCCAGTGCCTAGCTTATGCGGTGTTCCTTCTGCAGAACCTCAGCCATTTCCAAAGGTCCCAGAGGGATGATGAATGGGTTGAGACCAGCCTAGTGGTCTCAGAATGGTTTTGTTCTGATGCTCCCTTCAGCTCAGAGTTGCCATTCATTGTTCTTTCTTCCTCAGAGTCTCCTGCAGGAACTTTCAGCCAAGACAACTCCTCAAGCTTTGCTGCCTTTGCAGTTAACAGCAGTCTCGGGGCAAACTTTAACCTTTCATTTTTCATCCGAACTCTGAGGCCCAGTGGTCTGGTGACCCAAATCAGCAACCAAAGTGAAGTTTTCCTCACAGTGTATCTGAAGGATGGGCAGCTCCAGATGGATGCACCTTCTGCTGCTCCCATTGGGCCAACTGGGCAGCTGGCGGATGGCACCAGGCACTTTGTAGTGCTTTCTTTCCAAAATGGTCTTGTTTACACCAGCCTTTTAGGCAGAGAGGAGGAACTGGGACCCCTGGTGGTGACTCCTCTCCCTCCTGGCTTCGTGGTTCATGTGGGTGGACTCCCGGACCAAGACAGTGCTGCCACGTGGGGAGGGCCTTTTAAAGGCTGCCTCCAGGATCTTCGACTCAATGACTGGCAGATGCAGTTTGTCCCTCATCTGGCTGCTAACCACAGTGGCCCACAAGAGAGGCTTGTGGGGCAAACCACCAACGTTGGTTTCGGATGCACCTCTGATGACACCTGCAAGGTAAGGAGAATGCCAGAAGTTGTCTGTCTCTGCTGAGAATGGCACTATAGTGCGGCCTTCGCAAGCCTGGTGCCCTCCAGATGTTTTGGACTACAATTCGCATCAGCCCCACCCAGCATGGAGTTTTAGTTCAAAACATCTGGAGGTGACAGCAGGTCGGCAGAGGCCAACTTGTACCTCTGTGAACTGAAGGGCAGAAGGAGGCCTAACGAGCTCGGTGATGGTTTCCTCAAGTGGCCACCAGCATTCCCTTGCAAGCCCACGAGCAGGATACGCCTCCAGTAGCTGGCAACTGGAGGTATCCTGCCGGGAAGTCACACCTTGTGAAGAGAACTATATCGGGGCCATCCAAGCAACCCATGGAACGAATTCCATAGGAGGCGTGTGAAATGGGGTTTGCTTTTGCCAGACAGCAAAGTTATGACATTTCTTTTTGTTTATAGTTTAGAGAGAAGGCAAGAAACAGTGAGGGACGCACATGACAGAGGTGTACAAAGTATGTGTGATTTGTAGAAAGCATCTAGAGATGCATTTTTCCTCTCTCAAAACTCTTATGGATGTCCAAGGAAGCCAAATGTTGGAAGATTCAGGACCAACAAAAGAAATTATTTCTTAAACTGTGAACCTCCCAACTGCAAGAGCTGTGATGGTCACCAACTTGGGTGGCTTCAAACGGGACAAATTCATGCAGGAGAATAAGGCTAATCGTTGGCTAGTAGCCTTGATGGCTGTGTCCTTCCTCTCCTGTCAGAGGCAGTATGCCTCAGTACCAGTTTCTGGGACAAATCTCAACTGCGGGAGCTGCTGCTGTACTGAGGTCCTGTTTGTGGGCTTCCCAGAGGCATCTGGTTGGCCACCGTGGAAGTGAGTTCTGAACATTTCTGTTCCAACTACCTGATATAAATGAGCTGTTGAGAGATTGCAAATGGGCCAATGGGTGCATGCAAAGCGGAGCCCAGAAGAATTTGTCCACAATTGCTCTGCCAGTTTCCTCCCCAGTGACAGAGTAGCAAAGGAAGCAACCTTATCTTGAGCCAGGCCATCTAGACCAGTGTTGTCTACTCTGGCGGACAGCAGGTCTCCAGGGTTTCAGACAGGTGTCCTTCTTAGCCTTACTTGGAGATGCTGGAGATTGAACCTGGACCTTCTGGATGCAAAGCATGTACTCCGTCTATGGTCTTCCTGCAAGAACAGCAGAGGAAGCTGCTGTTCACTAAGTCTATTTAGCTCAGTGTGGTGGACACAGACTTGCAGTCTCTTTCTAGGGTTTCAGACAGGTGGGCATGCCAAGCCCTACCTGGAGATGCTGAGAAGTTCACTGGGACCTTCTGCGTGCAAAGCATCTCCCCCACCTCTTTTTCCATGACACACTTAAGCAAGAGGGGGGCAGTGAGTCCCAGTTTGCCAGAGGAAATGCCTGCACATGCAGGGCTCATGCAGGGCTGTTACCACCACTTCATTGTTGCTCTTGCCTTTGCACTGGCTTGGCATGGAGGCCTTTGCTAACCTGGTTTCCCCCAGCTGTTTTGGACTACAATTCCCATCAACCCCAGCAAACCAGGCTGGTGAAGGGTGGTCTAGAAGCTTACACGTTTCCAGCATTTCCTTCCTATGTTCTTCCTCCTTACGCTGTCAAAGGACCAGGCATTGGGCAGGCAGGAGTAACAGCATTGACCTGGCAAGGTGGAGTATGGACTGTCTTTTGCCTCTCTCCTCTATTCAGCATGTGCTCATGGTCTCTCTCTCTCTTTGTCCCCATCCAGCTTCTCACTCCCTCGCTTGGCCCTCAGATGAGCCTCTTCTGCCACAAGGGCCACTGCATGCATGCATTGCAACCTTTCTGTCTTGAATTGGCTTGGGGCTAAAGGCACCTCTTGCACACACAGAGGTCTAGAAAGAAGGCTTTTTTGGCAGGGGGAAATTTGATCCAGTGCTGGCCTACCCAGTGCACCACCTACACAGAGACACACAGATTCAGGGGACACACACACGCACACCCGGCCACCACTTCTCTTGCTCTGTAGTAAGTTACAGAGGGACAATGCTCCATCTTTATGGAGCTTAAAAGCATCCAGCTCATTAGTACAAAGAGAGTTTCCCCTAACTAGATCAATTCCTGCCTCCCCACTCGATAATAACTTGGCCTCAGACCTCTCCTTAAGTACCCAGTGCAAACGAGAAGCCAAGTCCCAGCTTTCCAGTTGTTGCAAATGGGGAGGGAGCAGAAAGTCTTAGAGACGGTATCCTGAGCACAGTGCCCTCCCTCACACCACCAAAGCTGCCACCAGAGTCTTGCTTGCAGCAGAAAAGAAAAGCACAAAGAGGAAGACATGGGTGGTGAGAAAGTGAAAATAGCAGAAAAGTCGAGCGTAAGCATGAGAAACGGCCATTTCTCCATGTAGCTCACTATGATCTATGCTGACTGCCAGGGGCTCTGCAGGGTTACAGAGAGGAGGCGATGCCAGGGAGAGAACCAAGACCTCCCAGCACTACCACTGAGCTAGACACCTTCCGCTGAGGCAAGAAAGGTTCTAGCTAGGGTTGGAAATCCAGTTGCTAGCCATGCACCCCACCATTTTCATCCAATGGCAGCTACGGCTCCCAGGCATTCCTCATCCAAATCTGCTAGCCTTCCCCCTGCCCCTCAGACCCCCAGCAATGCATGTCTCTCCAAAGCAAAATGAACAGTGGGCCCTGTTCCTCCTCCTCCTCTGACCAGGCTCCTTTCTTGTCTTTCAGTCTGGGCCATGCCTCAATGGCGGCCAGTGCACCGTCACATGGAATGACTTCAGCTGCAGCTGCCCAGCCAACTTCACAGGCAAGCGCTGCCAAGAGAGAGTCTGGTGCATGAGTGAGCTGTGTCCTCAAGCCACAACCTGCGTGGATGTCCCTTCCGGCTATGTCTGTAAGCATCATGCAAGGGCCAAAGACAACCTGAAGCCAGAAGCGCAAGAGCCTCCCCTTTCCTATCATTCATTTAAAGAATTTATAAGAACATAAGAGTGGCATGCTGGATCAGGCCCACGGGCCATTTAGTCCAGCATCCTATTTTCACAGTGGCCAACCAGAGGTCTGTAGGAAAGCAGGAAGAGTGCAAGAGCACTATCCTTTTCTGCAGTTTCCAACCATTCAAAACATAATTGCCTCCAACTGCAAAGGTAGAGCCCAGCCATCGTGGCTGGTAACTATCAGTCGCCCTCTCCTCAATGAGTTCTGCATAAACCACTTAATACAGAATGCATAAGCAGTGAACAAGAGTATCTGAAACTGCATGAGATAAAACCAATCATAAAACGAATCTGCAAATCACAATAAAACACCTAATTGCAGATCGTATCAGCTGTGGACTAAAATCTCCCCACCCTTCACAGTGACTAGTGCAGGTAAATATCCCTGTTCCACCCAGGCCCCCTGATCCTTTAAAATGCTCACTGTGGGCGAGAACATAAGAGCCTGCTGGATCAGAGCAAAGGCCCCTCTAGTCCAGCTTCCTGTTCTCAGTGGTGGACCCCTTGCCCCAAGTCCACAAGCAGGAGATGGGCACAACACAGCCCTTCTCACTTGTGATTCTGAGCAGTGGGTGCTTGGAGGCACACTGCCTTCAACAGACCACAAATTTGCCATGGAAGTTTGCTTTAGGGGGCAAGACATCATCCTTTAGTGGCCTCATGCATGTGTTGTGAAAGTTGTGGCTAGGATTGGCACCAAGAGAGATATAGACAGCGATGCTCCTCAGTACACAGGGATAGTCAGTGCTGCTCTCTCTTGGAAGACACCTTCAAGCGGGGATCCTTGTTATTTTCAGGGGATCCTGGCACAGGGCACCCCCTCAGACCTGCCTCCTCTGACTGCCGTGTTCACCTTCTCCTCCTTGCAGGTCTGGCCATGGCCACATTTCATGAGCGCGACGCAGCTGAATTCACAGCCAACGCTTCCATCACCAGAGCCCTCCATAGCCTCCGCCTGGACTTCAGAACAAGGGACCAAGACAGCATCTTGCTGCGGGCCATGGTGGCTGTGGATTCTCTCCTGGTGGCCATCCAGAACTCCTCTCTGCTGGTAGAGATCAGGAGTGGGAACGGCGTTGAGGGGGCAAACCTCCTCAGCCAGGTGCCAGTCTCGGATGGCGCCTGGCACACGCTTTCGCTGTCCATGGAAGATCCCTTGGCTCTCTCGTCAAGATGGCACCTTTGTCTGGATGGGTCCGTCAACACAACCCTCCAGGGCAATGCTGGGAACCTGGACTTCCTGAAGAGCAACGCACTCATTGTCCTGGCTGAAAACTTCACTGGCTGCCTTGGGCACGCAGATGTGGGTGGAGTGCTCCTGCCACTGGCTGCCCCCACCGCGTACCCACAGCCAGAACAGTTCCTGCAGACAAACAACCGGGCAACCCTTCTTGGCTGCCAGGGGCAAGACGTCTGTGCCTCCAGCCCGTGTCTCCACCAGGGCACCTGCCAGGACCTCTTCAACACCTTCAGCTGCGCCTGCAGCCCTGGGTGGGAGGGGCTGCTGTGCGAGGCCAACATTGACGACTGCAAGTCCAGCCCCTGCCTCCACGGCACCTGCATAGATGAAGTGGCTGATTTCCAGTGCAACTGCGAGAAGGGCTACATTGGGAAGCGCTGCCACATTAACGTCGACGACTGTATTAGGCACCAGTGCCAGAATGGTGGGACCTGTGTGGATGGGGTCTACAGCTACTCCTGCAAGTGTCCCCCACAGTACACAGGCCCTCACTGCGAGTAGGTGTCCCCCCGACCCCTGACCCCTAAGGATGCTGCTGGAGGGAGCAGAGCTTCCAGGGATGGTGCTGGGAAGATTAGCCTGAAGCAAGCTGTTCATTTGTTTCTGTGTTTTTATTTATATTTAAACACAATTACCAAGCAAATGTGCAGATGTTGAGTCTTGCATGCAGTCATCCACATGGCATCAAAACAGACTTTTGGGAAATCTTCTATGCTGCACATTAAGCTCGCGTCCACAGGGCATACACTTAAATCTAGAGCATTAAGATAATTTTTCCGTAGTGGCTGCTGCAATTGAGACAGAAGGGAGATTACTGCACTACAGCTAATAACCAATACACTGTTTCTTTACTGATGCCTTTTGCATGCTGCTCCACAGCAAAACGTTCCCTAAGCAGCTCGTGATAAACAAGTAAAAGAAAACCTTAAATCAAAACAAGAAACCATTAAAAGACGAGAGAGACCTGGCATGTTTAGGAAGCAGGCTTATATCGTGGAAAAGTTCCATTTCTTTCAGTAATTCAACTTAAAAGGTGAAACTAATATATGAGATCGACTCGTGACATTACAAAGCGAGATCTGCTTCTACTTCTCAGAGGTCCAATCTTGCTCCATTTGCAATCCTTGTTTTGCTGATTTCATTGAATATTCTGATTTTCTGAGATGGTTCATTTGGGGTTTTCATCAGCTGTATGCCAGGATCATCACAATTGTAACAAATCAAGGCTTGACATATCTCGCTTGACATGTCACGAGTCTAATATACTAGTTTCACCTTTCAAGTCGAATTACTGAAAGAAAGGAACTTTTCCGCGATATTCTAATTTTTCGAGTTTCACCTGCAGTTTAGCCTGACTGGTGGAGTCTCTTTGGGGCTTCAGGCAAGAGTCTCTTCTACCTGGAGGTGACAGTGGGGGTTGGACCTGAGACCTTCAGCGTGCAAAACAGGTGCTCAGTCACTGAGCTGAAGCCCTTTGAGTTGCAATAAAACAGGACTTGCTGCACCTCCGAAATGCAAAGCAGAGGTCTGGATTGCCCAAGTCTCTCAAGAAGCCTGGGTGGACCAAGAGGCCACTGCCTGGCACTGAAAGGGCTGTGAAGCTGGTGCCAGGAATTGAGCTGCCCTGGGAAGAGAAGGCTTGCCCGCCTCACTGCATTTGGCCTCTGGAAGGACCTTGCGGAGTCAGATGCATATGGGACGTGGTGGCCTCTTGGGTAGTCTCGTCCCAAGCCTTCCTGGGCATCAGGGCAGGGGCGGCCAATCACAGCCCCAGGGTCAAAGTGGGCGTGGCCAAAGGGTATCTAGTTGTTGTATCTAGTTACAAGTGCAGATGTGCCGGCACTGCCACTGTTTGTTTTGATTTCATTAAAAGTCCCTCCCCCTTTTAAACAAACCTAGAAAATGTATGCTGTATGTATGCTTACAATCTTCTCCTTCTCCTTCTTCCAACCAGGTGGCCGTACCCACCTGAGCAATGCGGGAAGAACTTCACCTGCCTGAATGGCGGCAAGTGCATGAGTGGCGTCTGGGGAGCCAACTGCACCTGCAAGCCAGGCTACACAGGCAGAAGGTAGGACCAGAGTTCCCCACTGCAGGCCAGGCCAGTGGCCCAAGGAGACCAGCAACTGGTTTGTTGAAAAGAGCAGCTTGGCTGTTTTCACAGAATGCATTCTCATTGTATTACCCTTTAAAAACAATCCTCTATATATCCGAATAGTATCTGTATAATACTGAGTTTACAACTGCATACAGAATATCAAATGCCAATGGAAACCAGAAATTCCCAACAACCTCATTTCAGTGAGGAGTCTCTCTCTGCAAATAGGCTTTAGCTTCTGATTCCTTAGAGCAGAGGTTTTCAACCTTTTTGAGTCCACAGCTCCCTTGACCAACTCCATTCTTTCTGTGGCTCCCCTGTGGGGCTCAGGAGCCCAGTTAGGTCCCCCCTTGCCTGCCGAGCTGGCAGCCCCTCACCCTTTTTCGAACACCCTCCCTTGTGGAGTGTTCCCTCAGCCTCCTCTCCTCTCCCCGGGAGTCCTCTGGGCAGCTGCTGCTGCTGTCCCTGGTCTCTGAGCTGTCCCCCCTCTGCCCCAAAGAGAGATGCCTCCTCACACTGCCCCACAGGGGCTGGGGAAGCACCCCCTGGCCAGCCAAAGGTACACCATTCGCCTGGGGAGCTTGTAGCCAGGGCTGCTGCAACAAACAGCTGTGCAAGCCTTGGGGAAGCAGAGATAGAGGAGGGCATCAGAGGAGGGAGGGAGGGAAGGGAAGAGGGACAGAGGCCAGGGTTGCCCACCGCACCCCTGAGCATCCTTCAAGGCACCCCAGGGTGCCACGAGACACTGGTTGAAAACCACTGCCTTAGAGGAAAGATCTTTATCAGATCTCACTTTCAATCTATGCTCTGGTTCACCAAAGATCATTGAGAAATAGGTGCAATTCACACTTACTCAGTCTTCCTTTATAGAAAATTTGCTTTTGGGTACCAAACTGTGCTTCTATATAAAATGCAAGCTGCCTGAAAGTCTCCACAAGACTAAGGATGTGGTTATAAATCTGTATGAGTGCAGAATAGATACTATTTGGATATATTTGGGTCTCTTAGTTTGTTGTGTGTAGAGACTATTTCCATGAGAGACTCACACAAAGCACACAGTTGGCCTGTCCTTATTGCACCAAGAAGAGCAAACCACCCTAAGATGTAGTTGACCAGTAAGCCAGCTGGACCTGTGGGAGGGCTGGAGCCCACAGATGGGAGCAGGCAGGAAGTGGGAAACTGACTTTTTCAGCTTTTGGTGCCTTTCAAGAAGAGAGACCTCTGGCTGTTTCTAAGCAGGCACTGCTGAGAGTGCAAAGCCCACCATGGCAGCTGCGTCTTCCACAGGGCCGGCCCTTGCAGGGCAGTTAGCTTGCCCCTGGAGGAAAGCCTCTCCAGCTTGCTAAGTTCACCCACTGAAGAGGCAGAGCCCTAAACCAACCCCTCCCCTCCCCTCCAGGTGCCGATTGCAACGCCATCATTTCTTTGTGTCGAGGCTGACTCTTGCCAATTTCTTCTGCAGATGCCAGATCAACATCAATGACTGCGACCCCAATCCCTGCCAGAATGGGGGGACCTGCCAGGATTCCGTAAACCGGTATCGATGTGTGTGCAGTGCCAGCTACACTGGGGAGCGATGCGACATTGACGTAAGCCAATGCTTCCTGTGCGTAGTGGTGGGTCAGGCTTTTGTCTCTTAAGGCTAAGGCAGTTTGGCTGAGAGGGAAAGGAACTGTTTAAAAATCCTGGTCGGATTCAGAGGCAGGGCGGGGGGCGCTGGGTCTCCTCCCCCCAACTCTTGCACCAGGAGAGTTCAGCATTTGCATTCAGAACTTATTTTAAACATCGGGCCAAAATGCTCTCCCTCTCTCCTTGGAGGTTTCGAAGCAGAGGTTCGATAGTCAACTGTCATCTATTATTTAGCTGAGATTCCTGCCTTGCAGGGGGTTGGACTAGATGACCCTCAGGGCCCTCCCAACTCTAGGATTCTATGAAAATGCAATCAAATAACTCCCATTAGCATAATTTTTGGATGGTTGTGAAATTCAGAAAGTTTTAAGTATTATTGGGGGGTGGGTGGGCATAGGTCAGTGACGAAGTGTGAGGGAACAGGGTCCCCAGGAGGTGAAGAGGAACAGAGAAGCACATTGTTGGTCAAGTGCCCTGGGGAGAGGGGTCTGTGCCTGTATGTGTCGAGGGCCAGGAAATCTATATGAATTTTAAAATAAGGCTAAGAATACCCAAACTGAGCATGCTCTTTGCTTGTGGTGGGCGAGAGGTGCTAGATGCTTTGCTCAGCAGATAGGGGAATAAGTCTGCGCATGCTCCTCCTTGCATGGAATGTGGTTGCATGTGGGTGACTGGGGACTGGTAACATACTAACCTCGATTGCATGAACCTGTCCTTAATGCCATTGCATGTCTGCAGGGGAGACAGGCTCTCTGCTGTTGCTGTTGCAGCTGTGCCTCCTCCGGCTGATGCTTCTAAACAAGCCCTTTGTTTAGAAGCCTTTGCATGCCTGAGGCTGAGGCTGCAGCCCTACTGCCTCCAGGGGTCTTGGCGCTGGTCCCTTCCCGTGGGCTTCCCGCATGCTGATGCTTGCTCTGCTGCCTCTTCTCTTTCATTTCATTTCTAGACCACAACTAACCTGTGTGCCTGGCTCTGAACAGTGCACCCTCCGCAGCCTGGCCCCTTCTCCCCACTGTGATGCTGTCTGGTGGGGCAGAGCCTCCTGAAATCTGACACAGAACATGCTCCACCTTGTTAAGCGCACCAGATAAAAGGTTTTGAGCTGCAATCTGCTGGCCCCACGCCAGGGTGGAGAAGCTGCTTGCTTAAACTGCCCTCTAATATAGCCAAACCCTATTCCAATTGCACAACACATCTGATATATCCAATTGCAAGGCTTAGGAGCTCAGAATCCACCCAATTACCTGCTTACAAATCTCCCTCCCGGTTTCTCTCTGGGAAGGTAGCGGTGGCTTGGCCAGCAAGCGTCTTAGCTGCTGAGCTGACACACTGCTGTTTTTAGTAAGGCTTACGCTAATCTTGTGTCCCCGAAACAGTTCTGTGAGTAAGCTCTGAGCTGTAGATGGCTGCTTTTCCTGTACTGCTGTGGACAGCATCTGCATGCAAGTTCCCTGGCTGAGGATGCATTAGCCGGACTGCCACCCTGGAAGGGGACCAGACATTGATAAGGTGTGCATGTTGTGAGATTAGATTTCTTCCTGCTGATCTGTAGAAAATCTTGCACAGGCAATTGGTGCTTCCCACTAACCACCCTGCTCAACACTCGTAACAGGAACAGGGAAGTGTTCCCATATGACAAATTGTCCCAAAGGAGCACTCTTGCCTCTTGAGGGCAGAGGCTACCATACTCCCCACACCTGCTTCTGTGCATGGCTGATGTTTGGGGCTGCATTTCCTTTCTAGCCACACTTGTGAAAGGTCAGGGCTGCAAGCGGCTAGCATTTTTGAATTGGCAGGGATTGCAGCCAATTGGATCCTAGCTATGCCTCCCTCATAGAGGGAGTTCTAGTGCCTGCTTTCTGCAGCCAGAAATCCAGCCCCTTTCTCCATATCAAGACTGTTCAAGACTACTACTGACATTTTGTTCCTGAGCCTTGGCCTACTTTTAACACTGACCTGGGGGACAGCATGCACCCCTTCCTTTCCCTCTCAAGTGCCACACAGCTGCCAAGCGAACTCCCCCACTGCCCGCCAAAGGCTCATTCTTTTTCCATTAATTTCTCTTGCAGAGGGGGACTCCAGGTGCTCTCTTCCCATTCCCATTAATTGAAGTAGCGGTGCCAGTAGCCTGTGGTTGCTTGCTGCTACTCATTATCATCTTCGTGCTTATGATCCTAACGGCCCGGAAGAGGCGCCAGTCTGAGGGGACCTACAGCCCAAGCCAGCAGGAGGTGGCAGGAGCTCGCCTGGAGATGGACAGTGTGCTCAAGGTGCCACCGGAGGAGCGCTTAATATAGGCCCTGCTCTAGCGAGGCAAAGGGGTGCCTTGGCAAGGCCTGCACTGAGGTGCTGGGCTTGTCCCGGGCTGTGCACCTGCCCGCCCACCTCACCAAGCTCCTTAAGCGCAGTGGAGTTGCAAGCGCGCGAGTGGCTGGGCCACAGGTGCACCTGGGAATGCCAGAGGCCCCCCAACCCATTCTCTGTGGCTCTTTCCCAGAGGCAGCAGTTAGGCATCCCCCTTGCCCCCTTCCCCGTCCATCCCTTGGCTCAAGGTGGAGCCTGCCCACAGGCCTCCCTTGCAAAATGCTGTTCTCACAGGCAGAACTGCAGGCTGCCTCTGCCTGATTATGCCGAGGGGGGGAGCGCTCTTTCCCAAGACCAGCACCAACACCAGCCAACCTTCAACAGAAACAGCACCACCGATCCTGCCTCCCTGTCAGACATGGCTCCAAGGGCTGGAGAGACTTCTCAGAATCCACTGAGAACATTTGCACAAACCAACTCGTTTGGGGGTGGACTCTTTTGACATTCCCACAGGTACCATTTGTTGGTGGTGCTAGTGATGGAGATGGTGAATGTTTGTGTGTGCTTATTCAGTTCTTCTTGCCAAATGGTGTGGGAGGAAGGCCGTAGGATGGAGGAGGGATTGTGGCCCCTTAAGGATTCAGTAATGGCAGAAGCCAGGTGCAGTGGGAAGCAGCAACAGAGCCTGCATACGGACATGTGGGGGGCAGGTCCTCTCTCTCTCTCTCTCTCTCTCTCCCTTCTTGCCCACCCACCCACTTGAGATTGAGACTCATTAATAGCCCTCTGTCTCCCATGCTGCTGCCACCATCTCAAGTGGTACCTGCAAAGCTGCTTGGTTGGCTTCCTGGCTCAGGGATGCTCACCTGTAGATTACCAAGCGATGTACAGAACCTGCCCAGCGATTGCAGGGTTTCACCTTGTCTGAAATGCCACTGCATCTTGTTCCACCACAGCGACCAGCTTGGGCCCAAGTCAGCAGCTCCACGCTGGTAGGCACCGTGGGAGCAGCTGGGGGCGCAGTGCTTATCACCCTCTTCGGCCTCTCCATGGTTGCCATGAAGAAGAGGAGGGCCACCCAAGGAACCTACAGCCCCAGCCGGCAGGAGAAGGATGGGGCTCGAGTGGAAATGTGGAACGTCATCAAGCTGCCACCACTGGAGCGGCTGATCTGAATGCCAAGGAGGTGGCAGCTGTGTGCCCATGAACTCAAGACTGCAACGACTCACTCCCCATGGCGCTTCTCAGGTGTGGCTTCATCTGGTCCCTCCTTGCAGCATAACTAACAGGCAAGCGAGTCAGATTCCCTGTTGCTCCACTGGGCCTTCTGTGCTGGGGCGACATGTATTCGGTGAATGGTTAGCCAGCAGTGGAAGAACACAGTGGAGAGTGTTTCAGGGGCCGAAGTCCTGCTGTCTGCCTGACCAGAAGCACCTGATGCCTGCACTGTTGGTCTACTTACAGGGAGAAGCTGAGCAAAATCCAGGGCTAGGAACTCAGCACAAACCTTGCATGGGTCATTAGTCAAGCAGTGGCATGGAGACAGAACAGGGTTGGATTAAGACTGGGAGCAAGCACTTCTGTGCTTGTTCAGACCACACACATTTCCAGAATCCAGTGATAAGCAGAGCCTTCCCTTTGCTAGAACACAGTGTGTGTGTCCCTCCCTACTGGCTGAGGCATTACCAGAACTAATACTCCAGTGAACTGCAGCTGATTGCCAAGGATGAACCGCAATGCAGTGGCCTATAGTGCCTTGTGAACAAGCTACCCAAGACAGTATTAGAACAACTGGAAGTGCAGGTGGGGCCTCCCTGTTCCCCCTCCTTCCAGAGACAGCTCCCGTTTTTGTTGCACAAAGTAAGAGCCCCCAACCAAGAGCGTTCTCTTTCCTTGGTGTCACAAGGCCGTTGCTTTGAAAATCCCCTTTCATCTCCCAAGGTGGGAAACTTGCAGGTTTTGTTCACTTTCAATTTGTCCTAGTCACACTCTTGTCCTTGTATTTCCTTGCTTGGGGTTTATTGGCGAAGGATGAGAACAGTTTAAAAAGAAAAAGAGCAATAAAAGCAGATGTATGTACAACAATCAGCCAAAACAAAAGAAAATAGCAGCTACAAACAGAGCGTGAGGCATCTTGCTTGCAGGACAGGGAATCAGTTAAGGCAGGGGAAAGATCCTGGGGCTCTTCACTTCCCCCTTGACTCCAGGTCCCACCCCCACCCCCGGGCTCCTGGTCATACTGGCTGGGGCTAATGCGAGCCAGAAACTCAACAATAGCAGGAGCAGGGCCTCAGGAGCCCAGAGTTGCCACTTTTAGTCAGGCAAAAGAAAGGACAGGTCGAGGAAAATACGGGACAGGTGGGGGGGGCGCGCAGGGAATTGGGGGTTAAAAATTACCTGGTACAGAAATGACTTAAAAGCAATCCATTAGAATGACACATGGGGGTTAGAGTTTTATTCAATGAAAAAACGGGAGGGGGGGCTCTCCCTTTCTGACTCGTGAGTCTCCGTCTCTGACCCTCTGCCCATGCAAAACCCCTCTTTCCCCCAGTCTCCACCAGGGCTGTGCAACGCCCCCTTTCCAAGTCTGTCCCCTCCGGCCTTTCTGCACTCTTCCGCACTGAACCAGACCCCCTTTGCCTTCTGAGAAAAACCCTCTCTCAAGCTCCTCCTCCCGCCCCCCCCCCCAGCCCATGACGACTCACTCTGGGCTCTTCTCCTCATGGACCCACCCTCTGCCACCACCAACACAAGCTCAGGCTCTCGCTCTCCTCCCACCAGACCCACCCTCTGTTTTGAGGATGAGCTCGAATATATGAAAAAGTCATTGTGTTTGAAGTCCAAACTACATACTGCTGCACTGCAGGGGGTTGGACTAGATGACCCTCAGGGTCCCTTCCAAATCTACAATTCTGTGTGCTAAAGGACAGGCGACACTTTTCTCCAAAAACAACTAACTAAGTAAATGGATGATCCCATTTTTCTGGAGATGGGTGGCAACCCTACAGGAGCCCCCATTCTTTAGTTGGGGGTCATACAAGGGCAGGAGTCACTCTCTGCACCCCAACTGGACAAAATGAGGGTGAGATTGGCAGGTGCTGCTGCATGGGCAGGCAGAAGCACTGGGCAAGGGGTGGCAAATCCTTATCCTGAAGGAAGAGGGAGAAGACAGTGGTCAGGTTGAGGAACGTGGGAAGCTGTCAGATCAAAGTTTCATCTAGCTCAGAATTGTCCACACTGACTTGCAGCAACTCCTGAATTTTTTTGTGGGTGGGGGGCAGTGGCCATTCCCAGACCTATCTGGAAATGCCAGGGAGTGGACCTGGGGAAACTTCTGTAACAAAGCATGGGCTCTACAACTTACCTCTCCAACTCCCATCCCTGTGGAGTGCAAGGGGGAAAGTATGGCCTGCAGCATTAGCTCTCAGAAAAGGTGCGAGAGCCCAACGCTCCAGCTCAGCGCTCCAGAGCAAAAGAGGGAGAGATGCTGCTCAGATGAGGACAGCCATCCAGCAAAGGGAAGTTGCTCAGCACTGGCTTCTAATATCTATTGGGGACTGGCCACACAGCGCCCCCTCCTCTGGTAGCCATGGTCAGAGCAGGGGAGCACCAGACTCCCTCCTACTGAACTCCCCACCCCCACAGGAAAGACCAGCTCAGCCTTTCGCTGTGCGCTGGCTCCTCTTTCTGCACCCTGCGCCCGAGACAAGATGAGCACCTGCGTGGATATGGCCAACTGCGGCCCAAAATCATTAGCGTTTTCAGTCCAATTACCATCAACAGGAGAAATATTTTAGCAAACACTATCTGCTCCAAGCACCAAAGCCCAGCTTAATAAGGGGAGGTGTGAATTCCTAGAGACTGTTGAAGGGAGGGAGCACCCCAGCTGCTGCTGCTGAGAAGTATGATTCGTACTTCTGCTGTAAATATTTTAGAAATGCTACCTGTGCAAAAGAGAACTGATTCCACAAGGGGCTGGCCCGACACAAAGCCCTCTCTGAGGAATCTGCCACACACCCTACCTCTCCAGACCGTTTGGAAGGGCCACTGAGCCAGACACCCCCACCCACCCCACCCACAGCTGAAGGCTTGTGACCAAGGCTAGGTCCCCAGAAGAGGGAAGGGAAATCCTGCTGCCGGTGAGGGTTTCCACATCCATCACTAGTGGGAGGATCCCAGCACTCCTATTAATTAAGAGTTTTCTTCCACCAGATTCAGATGAACATTCCCACCCCACCTCCTCTCCTCGGTGTGTTAGCTGCTGCAATGACAACACATCCAAAAGGAGGAGGAAATCTAGCCCCCTCTGAGAGCCTTGGCTGAGCAGAACATAATGCCAGTCCTCTTCCAATGGATGCGTTCCATACAAGTCCCACCGTGACTGTGAGAGGGAAGCAGCTGGCCAGGCCCATCCACTGTCGCAGAGGGGAGTTGGGTCAAGCATGCACACGGAATCATAGAACTGTAGAGCTGGAAGGGACGTAAGCGGGTTTCCTGGGCAAGCAGCGGTTCCATGTGCGTGTGTTGATGGGGCTTGGCAAGGGCTGAATTCTGCTAGTCCAGCTTCCCTCCATGAGGCCCTTCGCTACCCTCCCTAGCAGTCTGTTAGGGAGCCCAGCACCATTCAGCACACATGGCACAATGAGAACCAAGCGTGCCCTGACGAAGGTTGCCTGCAAGAGGGAGCTTAAACAGGTGGCTGTGGCAAGTAAGCCAAGCCAAGTAGAACACCACCTCTCTCCCAAAAGATTCAGCCTTAGAGGCGGGTGGAACACTTTCGCCCTTGAGCATGAGGCAGGATCTGCACGGCCTGTGCCTCAAAAGCAGTATTTTCTTGTCCACCCTGCTCTGAGGCCTCTTAAGGGGAATAAGGAAGTGAGAAGTTCATTGATTCCTGAGGTGAGGGCTACAGCCGAGGAAGCAGACTGAGAATCGTAGCACTGCCTCCAGCTCCACCCCATGGATCCCAAACCCTCAGTCAACAGGAGGTGGGGCACTTTGGGGCAAAAACAAAGACACTTGCCATGAGGGGATCCTCCAGCAACTGTTTGCACCTTCCAAGGAAGACTGCCCTTGTAGTAGGGTGACTGTGGATTGACTGAGACACTCCCACAGAATCTGGACTAGCGCCTTACCTACCTGCTTGGTGTGGCAACCAGCCTTGTATTTACCAGCACTTGGCACAACACATACCTGAAGTTTTCCAGGAGGTGGCAACAAGGAACCATCTTGTGTCAGACACATGTCCAAAACGAATCATGCAGAGGAACCCAGTTTCTCTTGTTATCACATCAAAACAGGTTTGTGAACCAGCCTTCAAAGAACAGCCCTCCACCATGAATGAGAAGTCATGACTCCTTGTCTGCCCCTCTCGTATTTTTAGATTTGCACCTGAGCTCTGAGCATCACAGAGGCCCAACTTCCACTACAGATATAAACCAGTGTTTTTAACCTCTCTGCTGTTTAATTTATGGATGTTTTTTTATTCTGTTTCCCCACTGTGAACTTAACATACTTTTGATATTTAATGTTGGATATATTTTTTCACAAAGCTGCTGTGCTACAGATTATGTACGTTCAATTTTTTTTTTAAAACCAGACTGGTGATTGTTGTAATTAAAATTTGCATCTATTTGTTCAGCTTTCACCATTTCACAAAGAAATGCATTTGCAATCAGAAAGTTGAGGGGAGTTTGATGGGGCTTTTGAAACTCCCCCAGGGCAAACAGCGGCTCCATAGCAACAAAAGCATGATGCACATTGAAGCATGATGCACATGCTTCAATAGAAAGAGGAGGGGCGAGAGAAAAGGCAACCAGTGCCGTTCACAGTTTAGCAGGCTGCACTGTATTCTAAGCTTATTATTACTAACAGTTTCACCTTCACCGGTTAAATGTTTATGAACAGCTCAGCCAATGGCTAGAGGCCATCTGCATCCAGTTTCCATCCTATTTAAATATGCTCAGCAGACAAGATGCCAAGCAGTAAATTCAGCATTCTGATCTTGGCTAGGAGGAACAGGCACAGCTGCCAGGTGTCTTTCCTGTGTATCTCCTGAGGTCCCATTGCATGTGATAATGCTTCACTTTACAGGCCAAAAATAAGGAATGATATTGCCAGGTCCACCAGGAGGCTGGCGATGACAGCACAGAGGAGGAAGTGAAGGATGTGTTTTCCTATTTCTAATGGGATTGTGGTGTCAATATTCCCATCTGAATGACCTTGGAAACTTTTTTTTGTACTCCTCTGTGGTCCTATTACAGGGGTGACGAACCTCGTTTCAGCATGCCAGAAGTGGGTGCAGCAACAGTTGTGGCTCTTGCCGTCATACAATGAAGTCATGCTAAAGCTAGCTTTCTTCTCCTGCATGCACACTGCACATGCACCCCTCTGCATTCTCCATCCAAGCAACCAAGAGCTATGGACACACTCTAGCCAGGCAGAAGCATTTGAGGAGGGCGGGGAGCATGGGCTGAGAAAAGTACGAAGGGCCAGTTAGAAGGGCAGGGAGGGGCCCATTCAGCACAAAGACGGCCCTCTCTAAACTTGGCTCTTACTTCCCACTGGCAACAAGGTTTGGGCATGCTTGCACATGTTCAGTTCAAATACTTCATTTAAGTAGCATTACTGTCCAATGATCTATTTGATGAAAACCCCATCCTGCTTTTTAAAAGGTCTGAGTTCAACACTTCATATAGACAGAAGATGTCATTTGCATCATGCCCAGGGGCTCTCCCTTGGCCAGAAAACAAAGGGCATGCTCTGCTGCAAAGGCCAAACCGAGCCTTCAAAGCACCTTGCTCAGTTGTTTCACGTTATCAGCTGCTGTCCTTCCCAGAATGTGGTTAGGCAGTTTTTGCCACTCAAATCCCTTCCTTCCATCCCAATCAACACAATTTGCTTCTTTAAAACACTGAATTCATTGAGACACTCCCATCTTTCCCCCCTTGTTTCTGTCAGTGCCTCAAAACTGGTTTTTCCCCCCACTACCCCAACCCCTAGAAGAAAACTAATGTAGGAGGTGCATAACTCTTAAGTTATATTTCAGAAAAGGGGTAAAATATTACAGGTGGGATGCACAATAGGTGGAGGAGCCCCTGCCACACCTATTTTGATAGGTGGTAAGCAGGAATGCGGGAACTGTGGTGTGTCATAAAAGGGACTGAACTGTACATGCTTTGCTCAACTCCCTACAATGGAGCCAGTATGTGCCGCTTGGAACCCCAGTATTTGGCAGTATGTGCCGCTTGGAACCCCAGGCTACCTAAGGGCCCAAGGTGGCAGAACTCTGTGACAGCCCACTCATAGAAAGGGGGCAAGTTTGGCCTCTGACCAGTGACTGCAGTTCATTCCTTAGGCAGAATGGTGAAGGGGTTGGTTTCTTTCACCTGCCATCCCAGTTTTCTGCCCACTCAAGCTGCCGCTCACTTTAAAAGTCGGATTTGGACTGCAGTAAAGGTAGAACCACAAATACTCATACAACTGACATCACATCCAGGAGTGGGGAGCCCTTTTCAGCCCAAGGCCCACATTCCTTACTGGGCAACATTCTGGGGGCCATATGTCTTTTTTGCCAGAGGCGAAGATGGGTGGAGCAACTGATGTCCGCTTTTCCTTTGTAGAATAGGCAAGTTTCTGCACAAACCCACGTGTCCCTCTCTTACCTTCCAACCAGGCAACCAGGAGGCATGATCAGAGTTCAGGGACACATCCCTGGCAGGCAAAGACACTTGGAGATGGCAGGAAGCAGGGGCGATATGGCCTGGGGACAGTCCTGAGAGCTTGGAGCAGGCATAGGCAAACTCGGTCCTCCAGATGTTTTGGGACTACAGCTGTGGCCAGGGATGATGGGAATTGGTCAGGGATGGTGGGAATTGTAGTCTCAAAACATCTGGAGGGCCGAGTTTGCCTATGCCTGGCTTGGAGGCTAGGAAGGCCACCATATAGGGTTGAGAGGATTCACATGTGGTGAGCAGCTGGCAGCCCTAATCCCTGCAAGCTACTGATACTCTTGGCTGATCAGGTCTTGCATGAAGCCATGACCCAGCTGCTGCCTTAGAAATACCACATGCTACTTGGTTGAGCCAGATCAAAAGGCCAGCATCCTAACAGTGGTCACTCAGCAATAGCTCTGGGCACCTGCAAGCTGGAACTGGAGGACAGCACTGCCCCCTGACTCCCCCCCCCCCAGCCTGTATGAAGCAGACCAGCACTCTCCTGCTTAGTGCGCTTTAAATATTTTACTATTCAGAACTAGGCAATATCAAAACATCTTTCCCCACCCACCCACCCACACCAGCAAAAAAGAAATAATACAAACCAGACAGAATGCCTAGTGAAAGCAACAGTACTTGACAGAAGTGTGATGACATGAACACAGTGCCAAGAGGTATCCCCTGACAGTCAGCATCTGAAGGAATCAAAATACGTTCTTGCACTGTACAGGCTCAAGCATGGAGAAAGAAACCTCAATAACACTTCAGCAGCAGGAAGGAAACTGCAAGGAGGTCACAGAAACAAAGGTGGTGACAGCAGCAGCAGCAGCAGCAGCAGCATACACTGGAGAGGAAAGAGGCAGAGACTGGCTCCCCCTGTGTGTGCAGGTGACTTCTGGTGTATACAGATTCGGTGGCAAATTAATCACGGTCCCAAAGGTGTGTGTTTTTTTATGGGGTGGTGGTAAATCTAATTCAGCCAAGTTTTTTAAAACTCAGAAACTCAAGTGGCCAAATGAACCAGACTGCTCTATTAACTGCTGACATTTCCAGGGCTGCAAAAGGCCCAGGGCAAACGCAGCAGTAGACTTTGTAGTTGGTTTGCAGCGTTCTGGTGCTGATCAAACTGGCGTTGGCTGTGTGTTCTTTGCTCATAAAGGAAGCTGGACGCAGCAGCGTGGCTCCCTGGCAAGGGATGGCAAGGGAGGAGGAATCGGGCTGCCTTCTCCATGCTCCTAAGCAGCCCTGCCCTTCCTGGCGCCCTCCAGCTGGCTTCTGGGCAGCATCACACAACTGTGCTGGTTTGGGGTTGAAACGATTTGCAGCCCAAAACACCTGGGAAGAACCAGGCTGGGAAAAGCCGCTTTTACTAAAGAGCAGTTTACACCCAGATTTAAAACGTGCTGTGAAAAGCCCCCACTTGTCCCCCCATGCTCTACAGTTTTGACTTTGGGGTGCTTTGCTGCTGCTCACCACATACAAGAACTCGTTACACCTTGGTCGTCTCCCTTTTTGGTAATAAGATAAGGTACGATTACATCTACTCGAAGTACTGCCACCTAGTAACATATATATATCTATATATCTATATAATATTATATAATATTATATAATATTCACACACAGTTATATAAGAGTTTGGGGAACCATGATAGGGGCATCGTGTGTCTTGCTCTGAAAAGGTCCACTGCTGGCGATTCCAATTCTCTGATGAGCCTGAAAAGGTGCTTGCCCTCCTAGCAACCCAGCAGTGCGGTGCTCTCCAACATCGACAGAGAAACTGGGAGGGGAGCAGGGACCCCTTTGCGAATGGGTCCCCCGCTGTGTGCAGAGGTTGTGGGGTGGGGGAACAGTGCAGGGAGTTCAAAGAGCCACATGTCCACTAAATCAAAAGTGCACTGGAATGAGGAAGAAGCTATTAACAAAGAGTCCCGGTTCAAAAGTCCAGTGGCAAATTCATCCCGTGTTTATACCTGCATTTACACCTGGAAGCAAAACATGATTCGCGGCCTGTGAAAACACAGGAAAGACTCCTAAATTCAATACTGATCACATTGGTGAGGAAGTGGACCCTAGTGGGTGCAGGAAGAGAGAGGGCTGTGGCTGCAAGAAAATACCTCTTGACAACTGAACACTCTCCAGTTCAGAAGATACTTTGACGGAATTTGGAAGCTTGGGAATATGACTTATCTACCCCACCCCAGTGTTTTCTTCAGCTACTCTGAAAGCTTAAAGGATGACGGTGATCCATGGGAAGGGAGCCAGTGAAGGTTTCAGGGGGATCCTAACAGTGTTTAGCCAGGACATCCTACCAACAGGAGTTGGAGCGCAGGTAGTAGCTCCTGGCTGACTAACCCTTTTGCTCCAATGGAATTCGGTGCTTTTATACTGGCTCAACACACAACTTAACGGGAATGAAGCCCCCCTCCCACCGGAAGATTCACTCAAATGTTTCCCACTGCCTTCTCATCTGTTCCACTTTACCTGGGGTGACGGAAACTTCTTGCTTTGTCTTATTTAGCAAGTCTTCAAAGGGGTCTTTAGTAGCCTGAGGTTTGCTAGGGAGTAACACTGACTCTACAGCTTTGGCCTTGTGGGGAACGAGCGGGAGGTCACTGGGCCTTGCAGCCAGCCTCGTCTTGGTCTCTAGTTTCGAGGCAGAATGGGTCAGGGGCAATGTCCGAATTTTGGAAGAGCCACAAAGCTTTGCTGGCTGCAGGGTATTGCTTTGGGAAGGGAGCTGGCTTTGCATTGGGGCTGCTGGGGACTGGGCAAAAAGGTTAGGCATGGACAGCGTCAGAGGGTTTGGAGGAGGCCTCTGGGGCTGATAGAAGGTGGAGTGTGAGGTGATAATGCTGGAGCTGTAAGCATGGCCTAGGGAAGGAGCAAAAGGGCTGCCAGGAGGCCTGACCAGGGACAACGGCACAGGTGCTGGCGTGGCCTGCACAAACGGGTTGAGAGATGCCTGCCCAAATGGTGCTGCAGAGGGAGGGTATCCCAGTGGCTGACCAAGTGTTGCTGGCACGGGTGGCATGAGGTCACCTGCTGTTGTAGGGAAACCAGTTGTGAGATTGGGAGATGATGACCCTAGCAGGCTTCTGGCGCTGGGCTGGAAGCTCATCTCTTGACAACTCCCTGCTTTCAATGGATCTAGGAAGGCAAGGAGAGAGTCGTTGTTGCTGCTCGTGTCCTCCACACAGACCTTGACCGGCTGAAGCATCTGTGTTCCGTGGCCACTGCTGGACAAGAGCTGGTGCTGGTGAGTGGCAAAACCAGCAGGCTGCCTGGATTCAGGGTCCAGGGAGATGTTTCTGGGTGCAAAAGTGTCCAGCATGAGCTCTGAAGCCAGGTCACTGGGTCCTGCAAGGCAGGTTGCGGTTTCAAGCAGTGCCTGTTGCTTGGCAAGTCTGGGTGCAGGTGGCAGCGGAACGATGCCCAGCTCTGGTGTCTTCCTGCCCTGTGGCCGTGGGATTGTGATGTTGCCTTGAGAGCCAGCCGAGGTCCCAACGTCCTTCTCAGGGAGATCCAGGATGGAGTCTCTGCTCCGCGGCCTCCATGGGGCGGAAGACATGTTCTCAAGAGGAGCCAAGGGCCTCTCCGGTGAGCTTTGGGAATACTTTGTGGGAATGGCCATGTCATCCTGGCCCAGGCCCCACAGCTGCTTGTAGGGGTGAGAAAACTTCATCCCTGGAGAAATCCAGCTCTTTTCGGAGAAGCCAGGATCCATCCGCTGACAGGAAGCACACAGCAGGTCACAGAATCATAGAATCGGAAGAGCTCTCCACCACTTCCCTCCTTTCCCACAGAACCTCCTGCTGTGATGCTCCCTGTACCTGAATCTCTCTCATCCTCCCCCTCCTCCAATCCACTGAGGCAAAGCCTTTCTGGAAGCATCACTTTCTCCTCCCATGTGAGCCACCCAACCGTTCCTCTCTGGTTTGTCACCTCCCCTGCTCCTCTTCCTCCAGGCCACCTGACTTATGTGGCAAGACCCCCTTCCCCAGGCCTCAGGGCCTGATCCAATCTCTGCGTCCATGCCCCTTCCCCCCCTTTCTCCACAGCCCCACACATTGTGCTTTTCTGTTCCCCCAGAAGCAAGCAACATACCTGGTAGTCAAAGGTCCCCTGCTGGTCCCCTTCATCCTTGGGAATCCTCAAGTCTTCTAAGCTCTTGGCTTGGCTGAGCAGCTGGGATGGAGGCTCTATCTCCAGCCCCGAGAATATGCCTCCCAGAAGGCTGATTTCCACAGGGCTGTCTGGTGTGGGTGGGGCAGCACTTCCACCATCTTGAGGCCTCTCAGGGTTGACACTCTCTTCGCTCTCTGCGCTCTTGGACTCCTTCAGGGCACGGTAAGGCTGAGGCCTGGAGGGCAGGAAAATTTCATCAGCTTAATGTACTACGGCTAAAGAATTCACCAACCCACTTCATAGTAAGAAAAAGCCAGCAGGAATTCAAGTCACTTTGGTAGGTCCACAGGTCTAAAACATCTCCCGGGTCGGAGAGGAGGCTCTTGCATTCAAATACAAGGAGACCTGAAAACAAGGCCAGCCTGGACCCTCTCACAAGTTCCAAAACTGTGTTTGGAAAAAGAGAGAGAGAGCAAAGATTAAGATTTATGCCAGTCAGCAATGGTTGAACGCTGATGCCACATTAACTTCAGTGTAACACATCCAGGCTTTTAAAATGGGAGCAGATTTTGATGTTTTACGGGCCTCGTAAGAGCAATAAGGTAGTAACTGTAGCTGACAAACTCCTTTACAGACTAAGACATGCACTTATCACAATCAAACCAGTGGAGACTGGAAAAGGTCAAGGAGCCAGGGCAGTTTGGTGGGGGAAGAGGAGGGCTGGCATCCCTGTGGATAGCGCTTTAAATGCATTGAGGGAGGAAGTGAATCTGTACTGGCCGCCGATGGGGGAAACTCAGGGAACATCAGACCCCATTATCCTGAGGGGGCCTTTGGAACCAGATACAAAGCCTGTGTGATAGGGAACACAGTCCCAGCACACTTGCACATGAAACTGACTGCACATCACACACCCCTCCCAGGCAGGGTCCCTGCTCTGCTGTTGCAGAGACACAGCTCAGCTCCCTTCGCTCCGGCTGACTCAGTGCCAGGCGTTCCTGGTGCCTTTGCTGAGCTAAGCATCAATGATTAAACCAGTGTCACCTTATCAAGAGATACCATGGTCCATTATGGGCGAGAGAGAATCTATTGTGGGCTCATTGAGCACCAACCAGCATTGGTCCCGTGTACCTTGGCAAATGGGCCTTGAACACCCTGAGATTTGCATGCGAGGGAGAGGCAGCGCAATGCGCATCCAATTAACACCATAAACTGACATGCATTTTTATGGTGATTGGCATTTGACTGGCAGCCAGTCTCACCGTGCCCTTTAAACAAGGCTTCAGATTGAGGAAAACATTGGAGAGGCACCAGGAAACAGCAGCAAAGCAAGGGAGCCCTCGTCTCTCTCTGGCGCCTTGATAAACTGCACCCTGCAAACTCATTAGCAAAGGGTGGCTCGTTCCATCCCCCATTAGAGAAGGAAACGCAGTTTGCTCAGATACGGTGGATGCCTCATTACCGCCAGGCGCAACACAGAGTTGCCTGTGGGGGGACCGGAAGCTTTAGCCAGCAGAATTTTCTGCAACAGGCATTCTCTCTCTCTCTCTCTCTCTCTCTCTCTCTCTCACACACACACACACACACACACACACTTGTATGGAGACGAAAAGTGTCACCTACAAGGTACCCAAGTGCAGAAGGTCAACCTATGTTGGGAGAAGATGGAGTGTGCCCTTGTTGATTCTCCTTGACCTCTTGGCTGCTTTCTGTACCACTGACCATGGTGGTATTGTTCTGGGGAGACTCCCAGAGTTGGCAGCAGGGGGCACTGCTTTGCACTGGCTCCATTTTGACGTGGATGCTCAACTCCAGAAGGTGGTGCTTTGGCAAAGCTGCTTGACCCCATGGAGCTTCAATCTGGGATTCCAGAGAGTTTGATCTCATCCCTCTAGCTGAGTGGGGTCGTTTTTGGAGAGTGCTGTCATCAGTGTGCTGATGACACACAACTCTTTCTTTACAGCTCAAGCACATGTGTCAGTGGATGTGCTGAACTGGTGCCTGGACTCGGTAAGGGACTGGAGGAAGCACAATCCAGGCAAGACTGCAGGATTGCTGGCCAATGCAATGCATCCTGTTCTGGAGGGGGCGGCACTCCCATTGAAGGAGCAGGTGTGCAGCTTTGGCAGGGATGGGGGGGCAGGGTGGGGGCGGGTGTTACTCTTGGATCCAACCTTATCATTATAGGTACAAATCATGGCCCTGAGTACCTTCTGGCAGCTCAGGTTGCCATACCAGCTACAACCCTCTCTGGACATGGAAAGCCTGGCTTTAGTTGCCTGTGCTCTGGTCATATCTAGACTATAGCACTGCCATGTGTTACACATGGAGGCGCCTTTGAAGATGGTTTGGAAACGACAGTGAGTACAGAAGGAAGATGCCAGATGGTTCTGCAGAACAAGAAGGAAGGTGTGAAAATATAGCACCAGTACTGGCTAGACTGCACTAGCTGCCCATTATTTTTTGAGTCCAAATCAAGGGGCTGTTTTTTATCCTGAAAGCCTTATGCAGCCGGGGGTTAATATAGCTAAAGGACCACTGTTCCCCATATGAACTTGCCTGGACCACCTAAAGCCCTTCCCTGCGTGCTATTCCTAAGGGAGGTCCACAGGGTGGCAAGGCGAGAACAGACCTTCTCTGTAGCCACTCCCCGTTCATGGAAAGCTTCCCTTGACAGTGTTTTGGTGCCAAGCAAAAATGCTTTCATTTTCCTAACTGTTTTGGGCAGCACCAATATAGTATATTGTTAAAGTTGGTTTTCTTGTAATTTCGCTATTTGATGTTTTCTTCCTTGCAAATTGCTTTGAGACTCATTAATTGGGAAGTGATATACACATTTAATAACCCTAAACCAAGAAAGCATGGTGATGAGGGGTCAGTGGCTACCTGGACCCTGCAAGGTGCATTAAGAAGCACGACTCAGCACAGAAACATGCAGAAACATTCGGTGCTGGGAGAAGAGCAAAGCCTGGAAGTCCATGACAGGAGCTGTGCAGGAGACATGCTCATATGCACACACACACATGCATGACACGTGCCACAGAAACACCCAAGCAAGGGAAAGACTAATACATCAGTGGGGTGCCCCAAGCATGGAAGGGGAGCAGCTCTGGCTAGTGCAGCAAAGAGTCAAGGTATAGACCATTCAAAGGGAGCAGAGAAGAGGAAGCTGTCAGAGAAGGCAGAGCTGGGGTCATCTTCCTGCGGAAACTCATCACCGGAAGAGTCCTCTGAGAGAAAGACCGTATAGTGGCGTGTAGGCTTTACCAGGCTGAAGGAAACGAGGGAGAACGAGAGAAAGAGAGAAAAGGAAGGAAGGAAGGAAGGAAGGAAGGAAGGAAGGAAGGAAGGAAGGAAGGAAGGAAGAAGGAAAGAAGGAAAGAAAGAAAGAAAGAAAGAAAGTTACTGAATTGAACCTGCAGAAGGAAAGAAAAACTTAACACACACACAAATGTCAAAAGTTTCTACGTTTCTGAACTGGGTAGCTGCATTCAGGAAGGACATAGCTTATAGGGAGGAAAGTTTAAGTAAAGATTGTCTTTCTATAACCTCCTGGGGAGCTGACTTCAGGTAAGAGGTGGAGGGCAAGGAAACTCAAGGAGCCCTGCTACTATTCTGGCTACTATCCCATACTCCACCTCAGCCCCCACCATAGAATGCTGCACCCCAGGTCAAAATCAACCTTACAAAAGCACAAAGACAGGCTTCCAGCAGCATGAATGGAAAGACTTTGTCTGACAAGATCACAGCAGGAAAAGTTCCCCGATGGCAAAGTGGAAAAATACTGGAGCCCGTGATAATCTCCGGCATGCAGGTCCTGTCAGAAACTTAAGTCATCTCCGCCACATTCCCCTGGGAGGAACTCAGTCAGGTGATCACCTCTCCTTCAGGCAATGCCATCCAGAACTGGTGCCTGCTTGAGAGGATGGGGTTAGCCAAAGAGGGCTGAGAAAAGCATGTGCATGTCCCACTTCAAAAAATAAGCTGCTATTCTCAAGTAATCTCTATACAGAAAGCTGAATGTGGAGAAAGGCAGAACCTGTTTCCACCATTGTGGTGGCACCATTTACACCTACTGCAACAATGGAAGTGGCTGCAGGTCTGTGTACAAGCTGGCTCAGAGTGGCATTTCTCTACACCAGGCAAGTCCTACTTCAAGGAGGCTGAGATCTACCACCCAGTATCAAAAACTGGCAGTGATCTACCACACTCTGCCACTCTCATTCTGAGCTTATGATAAAAATAACCAATGATAGTCCATAAAACCTGAAAAGTTCATCATAAGTCAATATATTTTAAAAAACACATGCTTTGTATACTTGTAATAACATAAGAAAATAATTTGAGGACAGGGTCCTACATAATCAGAACATGATGCACGGATTGTTGTTCACAAGAGCTCATGCCATAATAAATGTGTTAAGTCTTTAATGTACCCCAGGACTCCTGCTGTTTTTCAAATGAGTCAGGGGCACATGTCAACCACAGCGGTTTCCCCCATAGTTTGAAACAGAAATTGGGTAAATTCAACTGCAGAGTTGACAGCCTTCAAGCACCACCTTAAGAACAGGATGAAACCTGTACAAGCCCTTTTTCCTGGATCCACCCTTCCTTTTGAGTAAACCTAAACCTTTCTCTCTCTGAGGAGCCAGCACACAGGGCTGCACCCACCCACCCTCCCTGCTCTTTCGTCTTTCATCTTCTGAGTTAGCTGTCCAGGCAGGCAGGGCCCCTGTGCTGCAGCTGCAGGTAGAGAGCCTCGCACCTCCCAAAGGTCTCCTCTGCTGCTGCAAATGACTAGCATGGAAGGGGGGTTGTAGATAAAGGGCGGGCTATTTTAGAGGGGGGAGGAGGGGGACACGCTGCACACTCTGTAGGATTTTTGTTTTGTTTTGTTTTCCCATTAATGCATTCAGCCCAATTCTTTTGTACGTCTTCTCGGAAGCACCGTATTTTTCGCTCTATAAGATGCACTTTTCCCCTCCTAAAAAGTAAGGGGAAATGTGTGTGCGTCTTATGGAGCAAATGCAGGCTCCAAGGCTTCAGGGATAGCCGCCTGAAGCCTCCGGAGCGCAGCGGGAGCTCCTGCTGTGCTCCGAAGGCTTCGCGTTGCTTTCGTGGAAGCCAGGAGAGCAAGAGGGATCGGTGCACACCAATCCCTCTTGCTCTCCTGGCTTCGCTTCGCTGGAGAGGCGCTGCACAGCTTTCCCTCTCTGCGCAGCGCCCCTTCAGCAAAGCAGGAGGAGAAATGGAAGGGGCTCCATTTCTCCTGCCGCTTTGCTGGAGAGGCGCTGTGCAGAGAGAGAGAGAACATTTTTTTTCTTGTTCTCCTCCTCTAAAACTAGGTGCATCTTATGGTCAAGGTGCATCTTATAGAGAGAGAAATGTGGTAAATCCCTCCGAGGGGAGCAGAGTGGGTGGAATGGCAGCAGCCACGTAGGGTCCCCCCCCTCGTTGGTTTACAATGGGAGGGGGGGCAAGGCAGTCCTCTCCTCAAGGGCTGGATCCTGGAATGTCACCATCTCTCTCTCTGGACCCAAACCAGCCCTTTCTCTCGAGGAGCCAGCGCACAGGGCTTCTCTCTCTCTTTCCCGGCCTCTCCGTCTGCGTACGCCTCCTCCCGCCTCGTGCCCACTTTCTTCTCCTTCTCCTTCAGAGAGACAGAGAGAGAGAGAGATTGACGAGAACCAATCCCACGCTCTACCAGTCGATTGTGATTGATGTGCTGGACAGTGCTGCTCTACATGATTCCGAGAGGAAAAACAGAAAAGAAGCAGGTGGGTTTACAGGTGCGAACTGGTCCCACAAATAGCGTCCATGTCAGTCTCCTGGAGATGGTAGCTCAAAGTTTTCTCCTCAAAAACAAGTTGAGTTGTCTTTTCAGCTGTGACGCATCACTAAAATATTTATTATTATAAAAAATACATCTGCCTTGTCAGTGGATGCTCTGTGCTCTGCCTACACACAGACAAGTTTTACAACCCACATGTCTGGATGTTTCCAGAGAAAACATAACGGTTGGAGTGTTCTCATACACAAGGATTTGTAAAGCATATGCCATTTCTGAGGTCCAGGGCTGGATTCTGCAGTCACAGAAAACAATCTCACTTCAGTGGATCTCAACAGGGCAGGCAGCAGCTCAGAATATGCTCCACAAGCTGTTTTATTTGAAAGGGGGCTGGATGTGCCAAACATGCACTGCTGCTCATGTCAAAGGAGCCTGTGCAGGAGAAGTTCCCAGAGGAAATGGAATCTGTTAAGCATGAAGGTTTTTGCGGCAATTCCTAAATCAGCCAATGCAACTTTTTGCACTAAAAGGCCATGAACAACCAACATTTTTTAATTCCGTTTTTTATTAATCCACTTACAGTGGTACCTCGGTTTAAGAACAGTCCAATTTAAGAACGATTCGGTTTATGAACTCCGCAAAACCGGAAGTAGTGTCCCAGTTTGTGAACTTTACCTCGGTCTAAGAACGGAAGCCGAAAGGTGGAAGGGCACCGGCAGCGGGAGGCCTCATTAGGGAAAGCACGCCTCGGTTTAAGAATGGTTTCGGTTTAAGAACGGACTTCCAGAACGGATTAAGTTCATAAACTGAGGTACCACTGTACTTTAGATTCATATGCATTGCAGTTGTACATGCCACACCCTGCAGTGGAAAATTTAGGGAAAATGTGTTGAAAAACAGTATTGTGAAATTTGCAGCCCAGGGACTGGGGACAGCCAATATTTGCCTTGCAAAGATTATGCATTTTGCAATCCCTCCCAAGTGAACTGCATAAGGCCTGTAAGGCGTTGTCTCTTGGCTTATTCATGCGATGGAACACTGAAAGTGAGGCCATGTAGCTCAGCTCTGCCCACACTGACTGGAAATGGCTCTCTGGCACTTCAGAAAGGAGTCTCTCCCAGCCAGACCTGGAGATTGAACCTGAGACCTTCTGCATGCAAAGCAGATGCTCTGCCTGCAAATCACTACTTGGGTGCCGCTTTTGCAGAGTACAAGACTAAGGCAAGACCACAACACATTGAGGTCTAACACAACAACACCAGAAAGGTCCACTGATGAGCGAACTTCTTTTTCTGACTGTAAGCTGACATAAGAGCCCTGAGGCTGGATCAGGCCAAGGGCCCACCTGGTTCAGTATCCTGTTCTCAAAGTGGCCAAGACACCTTAGTGGGAAACCAGCAAGCAAGATTGGAGCGCAAGAGCAATCCTCTCCCCTCCCGTGGTTTTCAGCTGCTGGCATTCAGAAGCATCGCTGCCTCTGTCCATGGAGCAGCCATTGGTAGCCTTCTCCATAAAATCTGTCTAATCTTTAAAAGTCATCCAAATTGGAGGCTGTCACTGCCTCCTGCAGTTTTGACTATGTGCCGCATAAAGAAATACTTTTTTCTCTGCCCTGAATCTTCCAACATTCAGCTTCGTCAGAAGTCCCTGAGTTTTAGCGTTAGTTGTTTTAAATTATTTATGAATGTTGTCTTTAGCTCTTGGGTGAATTCTCCCTTAGGACTGGACTAGAACATCATTCAAGAAGGATATCTTCTTTCTAGTCATCAGGTAAACAGGGGCTGAAACTGCAAGACCTGGAGACGCACTGAATTTCTGAATGGAGAGGTGCTGGACCACACTCACCACCCTGGAAAACCTCCCCACCTTTCCTTTCTCCTAATTCAGCACGTAGAGCTAAGCATGCCTGGACTTAATTCCTCCCTCTACTAGTTCTGAAGGCAGTATGAAGAAACAGCGAAATCACAAGGTTGTGCTTTTCAGGCTGTATTTTGGCTCAGCCATACCCAAAGAACCGTGGAGGGACAAAATATATACCCCCCCTTCCCGGTGAAAGAGCGCCCACTCATGATGAAGCTTACATGATGCTTGAAGGCTGGGGAGGAGTCAGATGGAGGGCCAATATATTTCACATGACCCAAAAAATTATCAAAGACATGAACAGAGCACCAGAAAGCCATCCCACCAAAATAGTTTGACTACCCAAGAAACAGCCACCACTGCTGAAAGGCTGCCTCTTATGACAAAGTGGATGCCATCAGCAACCTGCTTCAAATTTCAGCACCAGGACGGGATTTTGGTTGAAGAGGGGAAGGGACGAGTGCTTGAAAATGTCCAAGTGTAAATTTTTCATTAGCTTGCGGCAGCTGAATCCGGCGTGAGCCTCATTAACCCAATTCGGCTTCTCTCTCCTGCCGACTGCCACCTACCACTCGCTCGCATTTCACACACAAAGAGCTGTCTCTGGAAAGGCGGTCGCAGCA